AAATTAGGATGAATGGTTAATATATCAAAATTTCAGAATTAATTATTTTAAAATTTTTTTCTTACTATCTGACAAATTCAATTAATATTAATTATACACATGAAATAATATATAATTAAGGTGTCTCATGGGGGAGTCAAGAAACAAACATTTCTAAAAATATAAATGGAACTATTATTTAAATGTCAAAAAAGAAACTGAAACAATAATTTTTAGAAAGTGAAGAGTAATATTTTTTAATAATAGAAAAAAAGTAATGGAGAAAAATTGAACTTTTGTTAAGGATACGGACTACGATTTGAATATTACAAATTTATGGAAATTTATTATATTATAATTATGGAGAGAATAGCAACCTAGTTAGGTATCTAATCATATTTTTATATTGGAGCCAATATTATTTTAGCAGTTTATATAATTGGAAATTGAAATAATTGTTTGCAGAATTTTAAATCTTGAACACTATAAATCACTTGATAATGAATATAAAAAAGAAAAAGAAAATTATGTTCCTTTCGTTAAAATCATAGTCCCATTTTTTTTTTTTTTTTGAATGTTCCAAAATAATAGTTCCATTTATATTTTTGAAATATTTTTTTCATTTTTTCACAATACTCTTATATAATAATTCATTTATATAATAGTTCATGTAAATAATTAATATCAATTTAATTTACTAAATAATAAAAAAAGTCTTAAAATAAAATCTAGATATACTAATTATTCATTTCTATTTTGAAAGTTTCAACAAATTATCAATATAAAATATTTTATATTTTTAGGACACATAAAGGAAAAATAAGAAAAAATCATGCTGACTATTTTTAAACATTGTGAAACATATTTAAGACTAATTTTGGGACGGAGGGATAAAATATGCAAGAATTACGTGAGACGGTGGCACGTACTCTACCGTATATATACATATAATTAACATATCACATATACGATACGGAAGGAATGTCGGTCCACGATCCACAAGGATAAGAATAATAAAACTTTAATAAAGTCCACGTCGGCAATTAATCCATGTTTGATGATCGCTTAGTCCAAGCTTGACCAATCACTCGCCAGAATCTTTTCATAGTCAAAATAGTTTATTTAAATTTTATATCAAGGAATGTAGTGGGTGGAGGTACCGGCGGCGGCGGTGGTGGTGGTGGTGGAGGCGGAGGAAGAAGAACCGAGTGTGTATGTTTATGAAAAGGGGGCCCAGCCAATAATTCAGTGGTAATGTCTCTCTGCAACCTATCATTAAAGCCTGCATGAGTTCAATAATTGCAAGAATCCCAAAAGCATGACATATCTGACCTCCTCACATCCTCTAGATGTGCATTTTAATTACGTAAAATCTTCTCCACGCGCATGGGACCACCTCCACCCTTTTTTTCCTATTTATTTATTTATTTATTTATTAACTCATTTATTCATTTTCAACGCCCACTACGACACAATACTGAATATTCATTGGATACTCCATCCATGCCATTATCTTTTTTTATTTTTTTTCATCTTATTTAACATTTTACATTAATATTAAAATAAGCTGAAACTAATTGAAACAGAAACTGAAATTACACTTTTGACAGAATCACAACCTGACTGTTGAATAAATCAAAATATATCATAATACGAGTGTATAATTTTATAATTAATATTTAATAGAATGAGTTTATATATTTTAATGTTTATTTTTTATTTTATAATCATTATAATTGATTTAAGTTTTAGTTTCAATTAGCCAATATATTTTTAATTCAATTTTTAAATTATTTAATTTTAATGTAGTAATATTCAAAAAAAAAAAAAAAAATGAAGACAGAAGAGAAAAGAACGTTGATATGGGGCCCTCTAAGACTTTTCTTGGATAAGGTAAAGAGGTGGATGATATTTGTCTGCATAGTAAAAAACATTTTTTTTTTTTTTTTTTTAAATTACTATTTCTTTCAAAATGGTCAAATCTTGTTCTAATCGAACAATCTAGTTTCCAATGTTTCACTCAGTTCATCCATCACGCAGAGGGAAAATTTATCTTAAAAGACAGTTTTTCTTCCATTCTCCAATGGGTTACTGCCACCTGGACAAATAGCTGGTAGAGGTCGACAGTGTTGGTTGGTGAGTCAGCGTTCTAAACTCTGTCTTTGAAGCCACCTTAGTCATTTCAATTCTATTCTATTCTAACAGTGCATCATTTTAGGATAATTATTTAATTAATAAACTTGGAAACACCAAAAGGACTGATTTAATGGCGTCATTTGGATTTGGAGAAACAAACAAATTGTTGACTGTGTGATCTGAAATTTCTTATTTTATTATTCTAGAATTTGAATCTTATTCTTGGAAAATAAGTTGATGGAAGACATGAAAATCGGTTTCCATGGTTTACTTAATAATAAAATGAAGTCTACTGGGTCCAAGATAGTGTAATTTAATGGTTGAAATACATTAAATTTCATCTTGATGATATTAGAATTAAGTCATGAGACGGAAATTTTGAGATGATTTTTAATATAATCGTTCGTCGGTTCAAAAGGAATTAATCTATCATCTAATTATTATTAAAGAAATGGAAAAATATCATTAGCAGTGCACAAAAGAAAAAGTCTAATTGGTTAGTATAATACTTAATTCGTTCTATTTTAATAGTAACAAATGCATATTTTGCCTTGTTTCATTTTTTATGTTCAATTAGGGTTTTGAGAGCACATTAATATTTTATTTTTCAATTTTATCCATATTTATTAGGTATTTTGTAGTAAAATGAAATGGTGAATTTTTAATTTTAAGAAGAGTAACTTAAACATTTTACCATATATTTTTAGAAAATCAATATCTTCCAATCATTTTCTTAATCATTATAAAAAGATTAAATTGAATTTTATTTATTTTTTATAATTTCATCAAAATTGAATTTTATTGCATTTTTTATAATTTAGTCAAAATTGAATTTTATTTCAAAGTCCAAGTAATATTGTTTCCCTTTTAATTTTAGATCAACAGAAGGTAATTTGAACAAATGCTAAAATTAAGATTTAATCACTTGAATATTTAAAATGTTATAAAATTACAAAAAGCCAGAAAATTTAAATTAAGTATATTGAAATCAATTATGCCCAAAAATAAATATAGTTCTTTTTTTTTTTTATGTTTAAGAAATACCAAAAGGGACTTAATTAAAAAAAAAATAGTAAATTTCTTGCCAATCTAAATAATTATTATGTTCCGTAACGACATATTATTAATCATGCTATGATAACAATGATGATGATAATTAAACAATTAGTAAGTGATGGAAAAAAGTCAAATAAAAAACGTGGCAGCATTATCGCATTGGATTATTATGGTTCGATGCTATATGTTTGGTGACAACACAATAATTTTAATGATTGGAAGGTAATGATAATGCCATTAATTAATACCATAATTTTCACCTTAATTATATTTACTAATGTAAATCATTTATGTTAATGGAAAAAAATTATAATTAGTAAATAAACCTCCTCTACTATTTCAAAATTGTCTCTTTATATAGGAATTTTTGAAATCCCAAGGCTAAGATTGCTAGATTGCAATATCTAATCTTAATCAATAACTATACCGACTATAGTTGTAAGTCAAAATTTACTAAATAGTTCAGTCCATTCCTTCAAATTTGTCGAACTTTTCACAAAAATTAAAAAAATAATAGAATGATCTCAATTTTAAAAAAAAATAAGGATAAAATTTAGTGTAAATATCTAGATAAGAGTAAAGTTGAAATAAAATAATTAATGTTGCTTTGGTTCTTAAAAGTGATATCTAAATGAAGAAAAAATGTCGAAAACTACTAAATTTAACGGAACAGAGTAATTATTAAAAGGTCAAAAATAAGATTTTTTTCTTTTTGTAGAACAAAACAAGAAATTAATTTTTGGCAATTGAATCTTTAAATTTTAGTCATTACCTTCTGATTTTTATTTATTACTCCCTCTATTTCGTTAAATTTGATAATTTTTACTTTTTTTGGTTCTATTTACATGACACTTTTAGAATATCAAAGTATGATTAATTATTTTATTTTAAATATACTATTATCTAAATATTTGCACTAAACTTTATATCAATTAAATGAACATTAATTAAAGGGTAATTTAATCAATTACCTTTATTTTTTTAAAATTGAGGTGATTCTATCATTTTCTTAATTTATAACATATAGAAAAATTAAAATAAAATTATGAGAAAGATGGAGTAAGATTTTGAAAATAAAATTTTGAGGACAAAAATATTTTAAAATTATAAAAATTTAAAAGGTAGGTAGAGTGGTGAATTGTTTTTAAAATTCCCTAGTCTATAATAATTGTGCAGTCAATTTTTTTTTTTTTAGAAAGTGTAAAGTCGAATTTTTGAACACTAATTAAAACTTTAAATTAAATTATAAAAATTGTAACAAAAATTCCCGAGACACAATTCCATTTGCCAAGATGTGATTAGTATTAGCAAAAATAATTAATTTAATTTTATTGTAATCATTTTTTATTTGTCTTTAATAGTTAAAGATTGAGTATTCAAACAACAATAAATCCTCAATCAAGAAAATAAAACATTTTTTAAAATCAAAACTGAGAAGAAATTATTTATGTTGAACGTATATATAAGTAAATTAAATAATAATAATTAGGGTAAATGAAGATATAGGTATCTTTCATTAAAAAAAATAATAGTGAATCAGATTTTATTTAAGCTAATTAGATTTGTTAAGCAATCCTGACCTATTGTTTTTTACTTCAAGATGGAAAAGGGAAGCATAAGGTTTGACATGTAAGGCTTAATAGAGTATTTAACATTAATTTTTTTTTTTAAGAAAAAAGAAAACAAATCTTTAAAAATATAAATTAATTTAATTTCTTAATATAATTTATAACCTAGATATGCTAGACCTGATTGCGCAGAGAAAATCTCTCGTTCTCTCTCGTGCGGACCGTTGTGCATATTTATATAGATTCACGTGTGTTTGTCAACCTGGATTTGTCGGTCAATCTTTACTCCCTCAACGCAAAAACAAATTTAAAAGGGCAGTAAGAAAGTAGAAGATTTGTGCTTTTATTTTTTTCTTTTCTTCCTTTTTAAGCCTTTCAGGTTTTTCACTGTCTTCTTCATCATCCAAAAACCAAGAAAACCCTCTCTCCTTCTGGTTATACGCCAAGAAATGGAGCTTGCTTTGAGTTTAGGTGATACTTCGAAGCCATTCAAGTTTCTTGATATAAACCCAACGAATATTTCAACTAAAGATCTAGGGTTTTGCATGGCTTTAGGAACTGGTTTTAATGGAAAATCTCATCACAGCGGCGAAGGTGATAAAGTTCTTCCATCAGATCCACCTCTACAGCTTGATCTTTTACCTTTCTCTCCCGTCCCCCGTCAAAATCCTTCTTCACAGATTCGCTTTCCATGGCTAACTGATAACTGTATGTATTCTTTCGTTTTCTGTTTGTTTCCCTAGAAATCACAAGAGAAAACTTTCAATTTTAAAAGATCTGCTGTTTTGCATGTTTAGTTTTTCTTATTAAGAATTAAATTTTGTTGGTTATTTTTAACGTTACAGTGGTGTCTGAACCGGGTTCAACAGATGGGTCGGGTCGGGGGTTTGATGTCAACCGGTTGTCAGCGGAGGAGGCTGAAGAAGCAGCGGCTTTATCTTCACCGAACAATGCAGTGTCGTCGTTTCAAATGGATTTTGGGATTAGAAGCAGTGGAGGTAGTAGAGGTAATAAAAGAGATATAGAAGGTGTTAATGAAACCGAAAGAGCGAGTTCAAGAGCGAGTGATGATGAAGAAAACGGGTTGGCTCGGAAGAAACTCAGACTCTCTAAAGAACAATCAGCTTTTCTTGAAGAAAGCTTCAAAGAACACAATACCCTCAACCCTGTAAGTCAACCCATGCTTATTTTCTTGGATCTTTTGCTTTTACATTAATGATTTTTTGGTACCTTTTAGATTTTTTTTTTTGTCATCCAAAATATTAATTAATTGTTTGTAAAAATGTGCAGAAACAGAAGCTTGCATTAGCAAAGCAATTGAATCTTCGTCCACGCCAGGTGGAAGTGTGGTTTCAAAACAGAAGAGCAAGGTATTTAATTTTCTTGGAAGAAAGATAAAGAATTGAATTCTTGAATCTTGATAAAATGGTGTTTTTGTTGTTATTTGAAATATGTAGGACAAAACTGAAGCAGACGGAGGTAGATTGTGAGTATTTAAGGAGATGTTGTGAGACACTGACAGAAGAGAATAGGAGGTTACAAAAGGAATTGCAAGAATTAAGAGCTTTGAAAACTTCACAACCTTTCTACAAGCAACTTCCTGCCACCACTCTCACCATGTGTCCTTCTTGTGAGCGCGTGGCCACCACCACTCCCTCCTCCACCACCGCCATCGCCACCACCACTAACAATACAAATTCTAAATCTTTATCACTCGCCAAGCCTAGGTCTTACCCTTTCTCTAACTCTCATGACTCATCTTCATTGAGGTGCAATTAGTGGTGAAAAAAAAAAATTCTACTCTTCCACTTGTAAATATCGTGGCTTGGAAAATCTTTTTTACTTATTAATATAATTATAATTGTTATATATAATTAATTTATTAATTTTATCTAGATGATAGGGAAAGGAGAATTTGAAGAGTTTGGTTGATTGATGCATTTCCTTTGACTAATGAAGAGATTTTTGTAAGAAAGATCTCAATTTTGTGGGAATTAAGTTAATGATTAGTCTTACTATCTAATTAGAAAATGTAATGTAATTAAATGATTTTTATATAGAATATATTTTGGAAGATCATCGATATTATTTCTTTCTGTAATTCATTTATTGGTTTACTATTTCTTGAATCTTGAAGATTGATAATGGATTTTTGTTTTGCTATTTCTTGAATCTTGAGGATTGATAATGAGAGTTAGATAAATCCAATTGCCAAGAAAACAAACATGCTAAATTTAGGGTTTAGGCTTCTTCAGTTGGCACTAATACTATAATAGAAATTACAAGTCATAGTTGGTAACCTCCATTCTCAAGAAACGCCAAATTTATGTTGTTCACGCTAGGGAAGCTATGAAAGTCAGACATGCCTGTGAGCTCGGCTTAGTGCTCGAATTTGTCAAGTTGTTTCCTGAATTGAAAATATATAAATCAAGAAATTGATTTGGGAATGGTCGAATTTCTTTGGCTGGTATTTTCGGTTAGCATCTTCAAGATACATGTAAAATGATTGTTTAACAACTAATCACATGTCTGTGATTATTAGTGTCGTTTTATCTAGATGGGAATTGTAAACAAGGAAAAATGAATTTATGTAGTACAATTGTTGGAAATTTTTATATTTTATGCAGTGTATGGTTTCATAACATGGTAGCTATGATTGAAAGCAACAGATAATTATTAACATGATAAGAGTTTGAACAGATGGAGACTAATTTTAGTAAAGCAATTAGCCACAATGAAAGATGCACTTAAAACATTTAAGTCAATGTAAAAAATGGGGACCAAAATGTAATTATATTTTGGGACCAGAGACAGAATAGATAGTACTGTATGGTCCCTCTCTCTGCTATCAATCATCATGCAACTATCAAGTCCCATACCATCTGGACAATAAAGGAGAGAAAAATATATGTAATGCAACCAAATTTATAGAAATCAAGTCTTTTTGACATTATGAGAAGAATATGTAATTGCAACCAAAATTTATAGAAATCAAGTCTTATTTGACATTTATTGAGAAGGAATATATATATATATATAATATATATATATATAACAAGGATATATATATATATATATATATATAACAAGGAAGATGATGATGTTTGACATTTCAATCACTTTTTTCAAACGTCTCACTTTTACTTATCCTTAGTGACCTTCAATAATTTTAATTATTGCTAAATTGATTTTATATTAGCCGTTCTTACTTGACTAATAGATTATATATATATATATAAAAATTTACACGTGTCTTTATACTCTAACTGAAATGATATTTAAATAAAATCCTCTCAATAGTGACGAATTTGAATTTTAAGATTAAACTTCAACTCTGAGCCTAATTAATGGAAGCTTTTCAATCAACTACAAATTTAATGGGTGTTGCCCATTAAACAGCACGACTCCAGATTACAAGATTAACCAAGTTTCATTAGTTGGAAGTTAGAACTATTAAAATAGTGGGTAGTGCCTGTCCTGATAATAGACTAGGAATTCAAATTGGGCCACAAGAGTCAGTGTCCCTACTAGAAAATGGGCCAAGCTTCTTGTTGAATAGGGCCGAAATTTACAAATGGCGATATCTTCCATTAAACATTGGTTCGAAATAAATTAACCAGATTAATTTAATTTTTAAGTGCATTTTATTTTATAAAGTAAATAGTACTTTTTGAAATCCTTAAATTAATCTTACTTCGAAATCTTTCAATTTTAAATTTTTTATACAAGCGAATGTGTTTTTCACATTCAGAATTTTTTTTTTTTTTTGAAAATCACATTCAGAATTTTTTGTTAATAAAATTAAAATTCGTAAAAATTCTATTTTACAAATTACTAAAATCCATACTACTTTATCAAAATTACACGTAACACTTTCTTTTTCCGTTTGATGTTTGAAAACGTTTAGAAAGAAAATCTTTGCGGGCTTCGTAGATACAATGCCCATCATAATGTGGTTGAAGCATTTTATCGGCCCATTGTCTCATATTTTTCTATACCACTAAGCCCATCAACATCACCTCAAGTCCATTTTCACTTCAAACAAACAAAGCCATGTTGTTTGATAATAGGGTATAGTCTCTTTCAAAAAAAAAAAAAAAAAAAAAAAAAAAAAAAAAAAAAAAAAAAAAAAAAAAAAAAAAAAAAAAAAAAAAAAAAAAAAAAAAAATCAAAGCAGGTAGCAATTGCGGTGTGCTGATTTGGGTAGGGTCCCAATATAGAGGACAGGCCATCCACCATGTTAAATTTGGCACCAGTCATAATCAAAATTGAAAACATGAGAAATTAGGTATTGCTATGCACATCCACTTGTTCAAACACCACCTTTACTCAATTATTCATTCAATCCTTTAGCATTTAGAGGATCAAATATAGGCTACGGTTATATGTGTAATTGTAATTTTTATTAATACGCAAAATGAATATACAGCGTACCCAAGCTTTAAAATTATTTTTTACCATTTTAACAAAGAAAATTTTTTTTTACCATAAGCCCAATCTGCCAATAGTCAAAATTAAAAAATAATCTCCGCTATTTGCGACAATGATACAAAGCTTCCACGAAAAAGACGTGGCCTGTAACTCACCGTCAATAACACCGACACATTATATATATTGTATTTAAACAAATTTCGTTTTTTAACTTTTAACAATATTTTAATAACCAAAAACATCCCATGCGAATAGAAAAAGACCAAACTGTACTAAAATTAAAACCTTAATAATTTTATATTCACTAATTTAATTAATCAATTTCATCAAAAGCAGCAAACAGTCGGTCCTCTTCAGAGGTCTTCGAGAGGAACTTTGCCGGTTCTTAACGAATAACATTGACTACAACTGCTAACAAAAGGAAAATGACACCCAAACCCAACAACTGTACTTGCTTTGAACGTTTCACACTCACGTTGTCAACGATGAAGATTATAAAATTTGAGTCACAGATAATGCAAATATCAGAAAAATAATTAAAAACCCACTATTTTATTAAACAAAATAAACTAACTAAATAATTGGTGATTTACAATAATACCCAAAAAGGCCATAATTTGATTCTAAAAGAATATATAAAGAGACAATGAGATGGAAGGGAACTCTTTTCTCCCCTCTCTCTTCTTCAATATATATATATACGTAATACACAGGTAAGGTTTGATTTATAACTATTCTTGGATCTTCCCATGTTCTTTTTTTTTTTTTTTTTTTTTTTTTTTTTTTTTTTTATTTTTTTCTGTAAAATCCAAAATTGATAAGGTAAAGGAAAAAGAAGAAAAAAATTACATCGTGGTAATTTTTTTTTTTTTTTTTTTTTTTTTTTTTTTTTTTTCTGTAAATCCAAAATTGATAAGGTAAAGGAAAAGAAGAAAAAAATTACACGTGTAATTTTCTGTTTCAACTCCATATTCCAATTGCAGCATGTAAAATTTATGTGCTCTCTATTATTTACCTGTGTTTCTTCTGCACTCGCCGCTTTTGGTACTCGCTTATTAAGAGCTCTGCATAAAGAATCTCATTCCAGGTGTCCGGCACGCCGGGAAGACACCAATGGCTGCAATCTTGGAAATGTAGTGGTGATTTTCTTTCCTCTGGTGGTATGTTACGTTTTCTATAGATTGAAGGGTGACCGTCCTTCCGGTAATCTGTCATTTGTGTGACATTCAGGTATGTGACATGGGTCTTCATCCCTCTTAGCACTCTCTCCAGCACCAACATTTTGGGCGGATACTGCCTCAGATATGTAGCATTGTTTATCGGCTCAACCTCACTATCGCATGCACCGCCAGAATTCCATTGCCCACCGCTGAAGAGAGAGACAAAGCAATGAATTTAAATTATTTGCTGCAAACAATTCAAGTAGCTCAAACCTGGCAAATCATGAAAGAGAACAAGAAACATTTGCTTTGTCTATTGATTCATAGCTTTCTATTTGAGAACCTAGTTCATGTGCTTGGCATACCTTTTAAAAATAAAAAACACATTTTATTACATGTAATTTACTCAATCAGAACAACAAAAAAAAAACATTGCTTCATCGTTACTCAATCAAATGGGAGAAAAATAAATGGAAATCTATCATTAAGAAATGCAATTAGCTTTTCACCTGAAATGAGAAGCAGAATATCCTCTGAAGAAGACCAAAGATTTCATTGGATTTACATTGTGATCAACCCATCTGGCCCATGTTGTCAAAGCTTTCCGAAATGCCTCTAGAACATTTAATTCATTGTATATATGGCTCCCTTCTTGGTAATAATCTTTCCTGCAATTACAATGCTAGTTTAGTTCCCAGCATTTGCTAAACAAATGCCAAACAAAAACACTCTGAGCACTTAATTAGAAGCTAACCCTTTAGAAGTTTTGTCATGAGTCCACCAATGCCCAGTGTTGAAGATGATGATGTCTGCATTTTTATATAGATCAGATGATCTACCGACTAAATCAAGCCGAAGCGTTTCCCTCTTTGTTCCATTTTTGTCAGGCATTTCCCATTCTTGAACCAAGAATGGAGATACAAAGAACTCTATAGTGCAGTCATAATCCTAACCAAGGAAAACCCATTGAATTATGCATATGCCACTCAAGACTAAAAGAATATATACATAGTAAAAAAACAAAAAGATTAAATAACTTACTTTGAATACGAAAGAGTATGAAGCTTCCCCTCTAAAATGGACTCTCCCATTAGCTTCAAAAACCTTGCTCTGATCTTTCACTGACCCTTTTAGCATACAAACTAGAGATTCCCACATATTCCTATTTAAGGAATCACCCACAAAAACAAGTCTCTTTCCTCTCAACATATCCAACATCTTAGCAGGATTTAACCTATATAAAGCAATTCATTGAAATCAATCTTAATAAAAACAAAGCCATAACTTTTAAAAGGAAACTGATAAACAGATCAGAATCCAAATTCAACTACAAATTAAATGAAAAGAAAAATAAATTTATAAATCCAAAAGAAAACACTCAATAAGTAAATTATAACTAATTTTAATTTTAATTCATAATTCATACCTTGGTAAAGTGCACCCTTTAGGCTTCCATTTGTATTTCTGATAGTCTTTGTCAGGTCTACCATTACTTATACAATTAAACTGCTCATCGATCAGTGAGCAAGACCCAGGCTTATAAAGAGGATATGAATCATCCTTCACCCATTCTCCATCAAAAAAATTGCAATTCACCAAACTCTCAATTCCCTGTTTCCCTGACAGCTCTGAATTAGTTCCATTGCTTTGTTTCGACCCATTATTCTGTTTTTTGGACAACGAAGATGTATAATTAGAAGCCACATTCTTCTCTGCAATTCCCTTCTCTTGCTTTCCTTTAACCGAAGAGACGGAGTTTGTAGATGATTTAGCATTCTGATTTTCCTGCACCGGCGTTGCTAAGCCTGATTTGGCGTTTGAATTTGAACTCTGATTTGATTTTTCCGGTGAATCTGAAACAGGAATAGCATCCTGATTTTCCCGCACCGGCGATGCTAAGCCTGATTTGTCGGCTGAATTTGAACCCTGATTAGATTTCATCGGTGAAACTGAAACTGGGCTTGTGGTTAAATTTGCAGCCTGCTCGGCTGAAACTGGGATTGTGGTTAAATTTGCAGTCTGCTCGGCTGAAACTGGGCTTATTGGTGTAGAAATTGCGGTTTTATTTGAATTCTCAAGAATTTGAGTTTGATTATTGACAATTGAAGCATCTACGGACTGATTTGTTCGCAAAACGGCGGGTTTTTGTACAGTAAGTGGGGTTTGCACTTCATCATTTGAAGTGGGAAGTTGAGACGATGTAGTGTTAGATCTGGTAGCGTTATTTGTAGGAAAAGATGAGTTGGTGCCATTTGGCCAAAAATTAGAGAAAATAGAAGAAAACTGAGATCCATAAGAATCAGAGGGAGCAGTAGGCGTTGGCGTAGTAGTAGTAAAGATATTGGTGAACCAAAGAGCCGAGGAATTTGGGGAAGGATTAAAAGCTAAGAAAATAGTAAAAGCAACAAAAGCAAACATGAAGCCATAAGCAAAAGCCATACTTGTTCTTCTTGTTTTAAGAAGAGAAAAAAGACTCTTTAAGTCAGAAACAAGACTTCCTCCATTGATGGAGAGGTGCTTTGTGGCTGCATCAGCCATGGCAGAAGACTGAAAGTTTAAGTTCCTATCTCTTTCTTCTTATTCTTCTTCAGAAAATAGATATGGAGATTGCTGGAGAGAGACAGAGAGAAAGCAAAAGCAAGAAACAGGTAGAGCTATTTGTGGTTATGGAAGTCCTGAAAAAATAAAAATAAGTGCTACCTGTTACAGTTGAGAGAGAAGGAGAAAGCAGTAAGTTTTCTTTTTCTTTTCTTTTCTTTTTTTTATACTGTTACTGCGACGAAGAAGATAGATAGTTCTCAAAGAGTAAAAAGGCGAAGATCTGATACTAGTTAAAAGAGTCCTCAATATATAGTCACGATTTTCTGGAAAATTTGCATAACTGCCACTAGGTTAGTGCGTTATCCGGCGAATCAACCTAACCCTAATCCTGAACAAATCTGCTGAACTCAGATGTAGTTTACTAATGAGTTACGACTATGAAAAGGACTCCATCAATAATCTACAATAATTTAAAATCTCAAATATAGATAATTAGATATGTCTCCATTAAATAGATTTAGATTAAAATTTATTATTATCTTTATTTAATATTAATTTTTTAATTAAATCTCCAATTGAAATATAAAAAAAAATATTTTTATCTTCATTTTAACTTATATATATGTTGAACTCAAACAGTAAGATTATATATTTTTTTTTATTTTCAATTTCCTCTTTATATAGAGAAGTGGATAAAATCTCTCCCCAGCTAACCATTTATTCTTAAAATTTTAAGATACATTTGAGAGATATCATAGGGATACTTTATAACGGTTGTTGAAGTAGATTTTGTAGTAAATATTATCTATATTTAGGATATCTTTTAAATATATATTGTGTTTTATTATTAGATAATTAAGAGATATTATAGATTTATATTTTAATATCATAAATAATATAATATATATAATATATATATATATTCAATTAATTTTTATTAAAGAAATTTTAAGTAAGGATGAAAGGAGCAATAAAGACAAGGAAAAATAGTGACAGACATGAATTTTATGTACAATATTTCTCTTCTATCTTATTAAGAATAAAAATATTAAGTGCTTTAAAAGTTATTAAATTTTACTTTAAATATAGCTTGATTAATATATATAAATTGTCTGAAATAAATGAGATTTTTGAATATATTATAATATATATATATATAATATATATATATATTATATATATTAACTATATATATATTGCTTAAGTTTTGTAACAAAAATCTAAACTTTGTATTTTATTTTTTTTAACTTTTAACATAACAAATAAACTTTAAAAAAAAAAAACCCTTTTTCTATGAGAATTACCATTTGCGTATGAAGAAGTGGCAAAACCCGTAAATATTAGCACCCATGGCCGGACGAGGTATACCCTTGAAGCTTCCCAGTTCAAACTTCAAACCATGCGGTCCTCCACTCCCAACCAGTTTCACATATAAGACTTTCCGCGTGGAGCCCTATATACAGAAACTAAATATTTTTTATTTTTAAATTACCGTACAGAACATCGTACGTGTCCAAGATAAATGTCTCAATTAAAACTACAGATCAGATTGAAACGGTCATGATCTCAGGCAAACCAACTCTTGATATGCAGGGTGACAAGATGGTGGGTTAAAAGTTTGGCTGGCCTGCGCCAGTTTGCATTGGAAGAATCCATCACGGACAAATAAGAATCGGTAAAATCGAGTCGAATCACTGACGTTGAGGTTTCTGGGTCACAGCCATATGTCGATCGGCTATTCCTTCGTCGTTTTCTTGTATTAGTGAAAAATATTTGTCGTCTTAGCGTTTGACTATTTCACTTATTACTCTGGAGATGATTCAATGAAATGAAACGGCAGATGGTATGTTGTTTTCACTGGGCCAGAAATTCTTTTTTGAATTTTGTCGTTTGTTTCATTTCGTAAAGTATTGTAGTTTATTCATCTATATTATTAACAAGTCGTCCAACAAATTAATGTAATTGACAAGCACGAAACTCATTTTTGGTATTACATTATTAATGGAAGCACTCCTGTAATTATATTCTCAATATAAATTTTGAAATTAATTTCTATCAATCTTTTGTCTAATCAGATATTTTTTATTCAAAACTAAACCAATTGTGACTCTTTTTAATAATAATAATAATAATAATAATAAAATATTTAGTAAAAATGTCCAAAACTTTTAGTAAAAAAATATTGAATCTTCCGATTTTATGACTTAAATTAAAATAAAAATGATCAAGAATTCAAAATTTAAAGGAATTATTATCGGACTGAATATTGCTCAACAAAACCCGATATAAGAAAAAAAAAGAAAAAAACTTTCAAATTTCGTAATTTAGCATGCTTAATTTGAAAAGTGATTATAATATAATGTATTAGAACTAATATTATTTTAATTCGTAATTTATTTTGAAAAGCTGAGTATAACATAGTTTATTTACGAAATTTTATTTCTATGTTTATTTAATTGAAGTTAAAAATAATAATATAAGTTTCACTGGATGAATTTCTTTATGGGAAAGAATATAGTAAGAAAATAATAATTTATAGGTAATGAAGTTAAACAAATAAGAAGGATTTCAGATCCGTACACATTAAGGTGGACTCGATAGTGGATTACGCGTCAACACGAAAAAGCTTCTGATAGTATTTTGTCATTGTCGGTGCCAAATTAGTCCAATTTTTTTTCTCTTATTTCGTTATAATAATAAAAATAATAAGTTCAATTCAATGCTTTTTTTTTTTTTTTTTAAAAAAAAAAGAAAGAATATTGAGTGGATCAGGCATCATTTGTACTCATGGAGATTACTACGGAGATTACCCCTTGAAACGGTATAAACTATTATTTAATCCCACTAATTTGGTGAAGTTAATTATTTAATCTTAATCTTTTAAAAAATATATTAATTCATTCCAATATCTAAGAAGTACTTCCATCCATAATTTACTTACTTTTACTGTTAATTTTGAATAAAAAAGAATCAAATTTTACATATTCTACTCTAATTAAAAATTTTAAATACGTATATAATATCTGTCTAAAATGGAAATAAAATCTTAACAAAAATGGAAGTATAATATTTTAGGCCATGGCTGGTCTAAAAGTTTGGAATTGTATTCCAAATTATATTAATTTTATTATTGTATCGGAGTTATTGATGAAATAATATTTTCAAAAAATATAGTCAACTTTTTATTTTTACACAGATTAAGAAAGTAGCAATTATTATGGTTAAAGGACAATTTTATACATATAAATTTTCTATTATGCCCATCTTAAATAACACATGAGTAATTATTATATTGAAATAATAAATAAGAATTAATGAAGGCTATTGAAAATAAGATAAAATTTAATAACTATTGAAAATAAGATAAAATTTAATAAATGTATAATAGCCAATTTAATGCTCAACTATAATTCAAAAGGAAAAATAAACTATATTTTGGGACAAATAAAAAAAAAAGATGGATTATCTTTTTGGTATAGGGAGTACAAGAAAAGCATTTATAACTACTCATAACTCTTATTTTTATGGCCTAAATATTGGGCGAGCATTAATAAAATTAAAATATTAATTGAATTTGACTTGCTAAAAATTTAATTGTTTATACTATATATAAAAGTGGGATTGAGGGGAATAATGAGATTTTGTATATTGTCCTTATAAAATTTAAGATACTCAAATAACTTAGTAATCAGGCCAATTACAAAAATTTTAACTACAAAATTATATATAATTATATCTTATATTTAATGATTTTTTTAACTTTTTTAACAGATAAAACATAAGATAATTAAGCATTTGAAAAATAAAATTTATAATATTATAAATATATGTCTAATTATTTTTATTTCATTATATTAATAAATTATTAATAATCAATTTTAATAATTTATTATTAGTATATATATTTATTATTTATTAGTTACTATTATTGTAAGTTTGTCTTCACCCATTGATTATTCTAAAGTAATATGTGTAAATATGATTACAGTTAATGAAAACTTTTTTTTGAGAGTGAGATTAAAATAAATATATTTTCTAGATAATTAATATTTTAATTTAAAAGAAAAGATACTAGTTAAATTCTTTATTTAAATTTGCTAACTTTAATTTGTGTTTAGGATAATTACAAATTGCACTTTAATTTGGTTGGAAAAAAAAAGATAAAAAATTATTATTTTTAAACATCTCGAATTTGATTAATTATATTGATATCCTATTTAATTCAAATCATATTCTTTCTATTAACGAAATACAATTTTATTAATACATTTTTTAAATGATTTCATGATTTGATTGGATAAAAAAAATAAGAATTACTATAATTTATAAATATTTAATTTGATTTATTAGATTATTTTCTTATTCTATTGTTAAAGTATATTTATTTACCGAAAGTAATTTTTTTCTTTTTCCGAAAAGGAATAACACTAAGCTTATGTTACCTTGAAGAATAATGATCAAACAAAAAGTATAGGATTGAGTCCCAAATATGAAAGCGAGAATGGTTAATGGAAGCTCGAGCAAGCAAATGAATTCCCTTATTCTCTTGTTTTCTAATTCACATGATCTTAATATTATGTGTAGAAGCTAAAAAGAGATCTACAATCAGCAATAACTAAACCAAAATCTGAGTTATCAACTTTTAAGATAGTTTAAAGCATAAACTAGCAACCGGCAGTCTGAAAAAATATAGCCACTAAGTGGAAGATTAGCTTGAGCAAAGATCAAGCATTGTCTAAGTGCTAGAGCTTCAATAAGAGCTGGACCCCTGTTCCTTCTTTGTAACCAGAAATAGCCAGGGTGAAAGAGCCTTCAACATGTTCAAAGACAGCCCCAAAGCCAGCAAAATCAGCTGCTGGAAATAATGCACCATCGACGAAAGCCAACCAGTTTGTTGACGACGTGATCTGCATGGAAGTAGCACCAAGGGGATGGCCACCGGGTGTAGACAGCACAACCATATTTGCATGGGTCAGAGCATGGAATTCGTGCACGTAGTTTCTTGCATCCATATGAATCTGCGCTGGAGTCTGCCATATTTGGGACTAGATATAGTTGTTCCTAGACCCCAATTTTTCCATGCGTAAGCAGCTACCTCTGCTGCCTTTTCTGCACCTTGTGTCGAAAATACCTGCAAAAGAAAATCGTGATAGGTGATAATAGCGTTAGGGATAATAAAACCTCCACACCTCCACATCTCCGCCGATTTTGGGTAATGCAATATGTAAAAAA